AGCTCTAAGACTACAGGTGTGTGCCGCTATGCCCAGCTAATTTTTAAAATTTTTGCAGAGATGGAATTCGCTATGCTGCGCAGGCTGGTCTTCAACTCCTGACTTACCGCACCTTGGCTTGCCAATATGCTGGGAGTACAGGCGTGAACTACTGCTCCCGGCCAAGAGCTTACTTTTGTTTGCTAGGAGTGTTCTTGGTATTTTTTTTGTATTTGAGACTTTCATGCTAGTGCCGAAGTATTACACTCACTATCTGAGGTTTACAGGACTTTTGTTTTAATATTGAACAGAGGGAACTGTTTAGTTTTCCATCTTTGCAGGTATAAAAAATGTGCCTACCAGGACTCTGCTTTGTATCCATTGGAAAGCAAGAAGTAATACAGTAAAACTGTAAATCGTAGAACTCTAGAAAAAAGCTTAGTTTGGTCTGGGATAAGAAGCACACAGGTGATGGAGCAAATCATGAAAAAGTCAACCCTTGATCCCAGGTAGCAAGCAATACACAGTGACAGAACACAATTCTTGGTTTTCATTATTGCAAGTCATAGCCAAGTATCAAGTGAGAAATTCAGTTTCGTTTTCAGGGCTTAGAGAGACCAGGTGATTCTAGAAAAATAGGATTTAGTGATTAACCTCATGAGAGTGGGAGTTATTTATGTCTTTTTTCTCTCCCGCATCGCTTAGCATTTAGCCTTACTTTAGAGGGTCCTGTATTTGTTTTAAACTTGTAAAGACCTTTGAGTGCTTATTAAATGGAAAGCTTTCTTTGTGTGTGTGTGTGTGTGTGTGTGTGTGTGTGTATGTAGGTATGTATGCATGTATGTAAGTATATATGTATTTAGAGAAAAAGTCTCATTCAGTAGCCCAGGCTAAAGTGCAGTGGCATGATTTTGGCTCACTGCAACCTCTGCCTACCAGGTTCAAGGGATTCTCCTGCCTAACCACCCAAGTAGCAAGGATTACAGGCACCTGCCACCATGCCCAGTTAGTTGTGTATTTTTAATGGAGACAGGGTTTCATCATGTTGGTCAAGCTGGCCTTGAACTCCTGAACTCAGGTGATCCACCCGCCCCAGCCTCCCAAAGTGCTGGGATTACAGGCATGAGCCGCCACACCTGGCTCTAAAACTTTGTGTTTTTAAAGATGTTAGACAGGTTTCTTGTTTTTTGTTTGTTTGTTTGTTTGTTTAATAAAACCTTAACAATAATGTAGGAGAATAAGAGAAAGTTTTTCCAAAAAAGGGAAATCATTGTGATTATATTATCTTATTGGAATATAGGATAATATAGTCTTTATCAATAATCAAGCACACTATAAATTTCCATTTTAATAGGATTTGTACCTCAATTGAGGTTATACAGTTTTAAAGTTTTTAAAGTGAAAGCCAGTCCCGCCCCTGTCCTGGAGTGGGCAGGGACAGCGGTTGCATGGGCGACTTTCCTTGTGACACCACAGGTCCTTCATGACACGCTGCTGTCTGGCCACGCCTCCTTTCCCTTTCATCTTATTGACCAATGAGCTTGAAGCATTGAGGCCACGCCCCTATTCTGCATTCTACTGTGGCCCTGGTTACGCCTCCTCTGGCTCAGTCACACAGCTACCTGGTAGGTGACTGGAGGTGTATAGTTGTCCTCGCCTGGACTGTGCTGATGTGGCCCCAACCCCACCGCCCTACCCATCCCATGATGTCCGAAGAAACCCTACAGAAAAAATTGGCTAAGGCCAAGGAAAAGGTAAAATGTACCAGGTTGCAGCACCCCAACTCAGCCCCAGGCTCCCTCTGACAGCCAAACTGCTGCCAGAATCTGTGCCACTCCTGAGGCACACCTGGCTGCCCCTCCCCCAGTGCCTGTGGGCTCCCCACACCCAAATCTTGTGAGCCAGCCCAACCCCCTCATGAGTCCTGCCCCTGCCCTCACCAGTCACCCCAGGGTGACTTTGAGCTCGTGACTTCTGGGGCTTCCCACTCCGTAGTCCACTCTTACCTCCTGCTACCCGAAACCTGACCTCCCTGGGGTCTTTGGGCTCATGTCTCCAAGCACCTGGGTGCCCCAGAACCTGTCCTCCACCAGTTGCCCCAGCGTCACTTTGGGCATGTGACTCCTGCGGCTCCCTGCTCCATACTCGGCCCTCACCTCCCGCCACCCCAAGCCTGACCTCCCTGGGCTCTTTGGGCTTGCGTCTCTAAGGACCTGGGTCCCAATCCTGTGACCCCCCCTCCCTAATCTCAAAGTGGCAACTTGGGCATTGCACTCACGTGTCCCCCCCACCACTCCACCGAGGAGTGGAAAGTAGTGATGTCGTAGTCCCTCTAGGAACTGTCATTACTGCAACGAGACCGGTCTCTGGACTTAGGACCCGGTCCCCTAAGTGTTCTTGCCAATTTCAGGTTCCCCTGGTTGCAGCACAGGTTTCCAGCTGGAAGGGGATTGGGGACTGTGGGACCTAGGAGAGAGAGGTTTCAGGCTGCCTTACTTCCTTAACACAGACATTGACAGTGTGAAAAGCCGACAAGTCCCCCATGAGCTCAACACGTTAACAGTGTCTCTGGGTGGCAATGGGAGAACAGGTTTGGTTTAGTTTTCTCCCAGGCTTCTACTCTCCAGAGAGACTCGAACATTGTTTCTTGAGTTCTCCACCTCACATTTGAATTCTGCATTGTTCTGGGACCAGAGTGCCCCTCAGTCAGTGGTTGCTGGAGTGAGATCTGCCTGTCTTCTCTGGAACAGATCTTGGGAAACTGAACCTGACAGCTTGAATCTTCCTCATCTCATCTCCACCTGGGGTACTTTGAGTGCCACAGGATAAATATGGGGCATCTTTCTGAAGCCTCAGTTTCCCTTGATTCTACCGAGAGACAAAACATTAATGTACTTAGGGGTGACTGTCACATAGATATATAAGAATATACAAGACTTCTCTCTGAAACGAGGGTTGGGTTGTCCTCTTTCTGTTAAATTCCCAGATTTCACAGAAAGGCTGCCTTCTGCCATGAGGATACATTAATATAAATTTTGAGAAGTACTGGTGCACTTCTTCACACTAACAGATGTGTGAGGATGTATGACTCTAAACCACACAGTGTACAGTTCCTGCCTACTTAATATTTGCTTTTCTACCTCTGCCTCTGGTTTTGGTCCCTGGCAGCTGCTGATTCTTGGTAAAACCCCAGAGGTTGGAGTCAGAAGACTGAGTTTCAGTTCCATTATTGCCTTCTTTTCAGCCATGGTATCAATCCCTCTCAGTCACTAAGTGATTGTGACAACACTTCCTACAGTTGTTGGTGGCATTAAATCAGATGGTGTATAATGGTATTTTGTAGAAACTGTAAAGCAGGATGTGACTGTAGGAGTTTCTAGTTCTCATGAGTATCACTGCTCTTCCTTTCCACAGCTGAGAGACTCTCATCCCCAGACCAGCCCTAGTGTTGGTACAGGAGCAACTGACACCAAAAAGAAGAAAATAAATAACGGCACTAACCCTGAGACAACCACTTCTGGTGGTTGCCACTCACCTGAGGATGTGAGTCTTGGCTGGCCAGGCTCCTGGGGACAGAGGGCACAAGGGGTGGTGGAGGGTAATTGAGATTGTGGAAGAACTGCCAGGTACTGGTTAAGTATTCTGGGTTTGAATCCTCTCCATCTGCTGGGGATATGATAGAGGGCAAATTCCTTGAGCTCTTTGGGCCTCTCTTTTCACATCTGTAAAATAGGGGTGGTTTTGTTTTACTTACATTTGTGAAGTTTAAATGAGATTTATCATTGTTGTTTTTATGTTAATCCCTAGTCCAGGGCCTGCTGTAAACTCTCCTTCTCGGGCTTGCGTTTCCTGAGGTAGAGTTAGAGAGTATCAGAGGTGTCTGTTAGCTCTGAGAGTCCGAGAGTTAAAGGCCCACTAGAATGGAAACCTCAGGGCCAAGGGCTCCTATCTGCCTTTTCCGTCCTATATCCCCGCTGTGAAGAACCGTCCCTGGCCCGTATGTGCTCAGTCAGTGTTTGTTGAATGAAGGCACCTTTCTAAATCACAAGCTGGCAGAAAGGTGGGCTTTTCTCACACTCCATCTCTGAAGGTTTCTGACTGTCTTTTCGAGAGAATCCAGTTTCAGACTTTGAGTTCTGTGGCTGTGGGCAAAACCCAACAAAGACCCAAGTCCTTTTTCTTTGGGAGTTGAGGACAGTTTACCAGTTCGTGTTCCCATTGGGTCTAAGAACTTTGCCTTGAAAATCCATCCCTGGCCCCTGCCTACCGCTTCCTGGCCTGGGGAATAGAGTCGAGGGGCCACATTCAGTCACCTTCCTTTGACTGAAACAACAGAACCAAGCTCAGCTGGAAGAAGTAACGTGATTTCTTTGTTTGCTCATGACATGGCTGCTGGGTTTGGGGGACGCTCAGATATAGAGGCCCCAGTCTCATCTCGCCCACTCCCAGCCTGGGGAAGAAGGCTCACCCCCCAGATCCCACCCCATCCCCACAGGGTCCCTGATAACCTGGTCCCATGGGTGGGCCTGTCCTGGGGCAGTGGTGCCGTTCTGGGGGCATGTGTCTTGCTGTGCCATCTCTGCCTCCCCCTAGTATGAGCTCTGTCTTCCTCTTTGTATACGAAAAGAAGGCAAGCCACCAACATCAGGAAGCCCTAAGGAGGGAGCTAGAGGTGAGTGGAGGGTGTGAAGTTTCCTCCTGTCCTCTGGAGAAGGTTTCTTTGCTTCTCTTTCAGCACTTGCTTGTCTTTTCTCCCAAAGGCCCAGGTTCATACCATACGAATCCTTACATGTGAGAAAACTGAGCTTCAGATGGCACTCTATTACAGCCAGCGTGCTGTCCAGCAGTTGCAAGGTGGGAATCTGGCACCCGGTCATCCTTCAACCTGGCACTTTGACAGGCCTTTATGGGGAGACCTTTGGGCCACATCTGAATGTCTCTCATTCCAGGAGAGTCCAGGGATCTGCTGAGCCGCCTGCATGATTCATGGAAGTTTGCCGGAGAGTTAGAGCGGGCCCTCTCTGCTGTCGCTACACAGAAGAAGAAAGCAGACAGGGTGAGTCCAACCACCTGCCCCGTCCCCTGGGAGCCCAGCTTCACAGATGGAGGAGTGAGCCTAAAAGTCCCTTCTGCAGGATGGAGTGTCCTGCCCAGAAGGCAGCATGGCCATTTCTTGCTGCTTTTGTGTGTGGT